TATGTTTTTTTCCTTTTTTTTTTTTTTTCACTCCGTTCAAAGTCTCGCGCCGAAACACGAAGAGCGTAACAGAATCACTACGCGTCAAGGGGGCACAGAGTGCGTGCAAACGCGGCGGTCAGTTAATTTAAATTTATTTTACACGCGTCATTCATGGTACACAGCTGCGATCCGTACACGCGAAGGGACAGGGAAAAAAAGGGGAAAAAAAAAGAGAAAGAAGAAAAAAAGAAGGGTGGAATGGGCATTGTTGGCCGTGAGATTGCCGCGTCACGGCACTTGAAGCAACTCGTAAAATCGCGAATGGCCGGACTACGTATGTCGAAAGAGAAGGTCGCGAATTCCATATCCTGCTCGAACAAGAACGGAACACCACGGAAATGTAGAGAAAACGGAGGAAAGAGAGGGAAGTGTAAGTAAGAAGGAGGAGCCGATTTATCGGACAGGCAAGATCGATGCCTACCGCGACACTCCTCCTCCACAGCATACACAGAGTGTTCGAACAAAATAAATAGAGAGAGGTGCGAGTTATAGAATTTTAGAAATAGGAAAATTGATACTCACAAAAAATTGAAACTTGATTTCCGGACGAAGAAAGACAGATATGATTGTTTTATCTTAAAAATAATTTAGAGATGCACAAATAAATAAATATACTAAATAATTCTAACCTATTTAATTCAAACATTTCTACTCCTTTACTAAATATTTTTAAAGAATATTAATTTGCAATGTATCGACTCTCGTGTTCTGCTTTAATCTCTGGAATCTCTCTCCTCTAGTAATCTCTATCTATTTCAAACACCCTGTATACCCAGTACGGGATGTATGTAACCGCCTCCCACGCGTATAGCGATAATGGTACATCCGCGTATCTCGCCGCGCTCTAAACTTTCCTCGTGTGCGTAATCGCGCCGTTGTAAGAGATTTTCCGCCACGCCACGCGCGTCTAGTCCACAATTCCCAACTGGACACTGGTTTCGCGTGGTACCACGAAGCGGGTGTATTTGTCTTTATTAGGCCCGTAAGGAAACGAGGGACGTCAGAAAGCGTGGCCAGATATGGAAATTTATTCCTATCGTTCCGCGTGAAATACGACCGCTACCGCGGCTGTATTTGCTCGACAGGCTTTCTGGACTCGCAACTCTCTCGATATCCTTGCACAACCGAACTGAAATCGTCGATCTGAACGAATCGAGCCTTCGACAGCCACTCACGATTCCCTTCTGTTCTTCGAGGAAACGATCGGTCAAACAGATTGCTCAATGCTCTTTCCTATAATCGTTAATTTGTCGGGCGGGAGTATTCCAGTGTATTAATCCTTTCAAGATTATGAATATATGTATATATATATACATACATATATATATACATCGTTCGTGCAATGTGAGTCATCCGCAATAAAACTATGCGTAGGATGGAAAAATTGGAAAAGGGACAGAGATATCTCTATCTGGAATTGTAATAATTCCATTTGTGATAAAAGTAATTTATCGAAAATATTACGTATCGTGTATTTCATTATTGCCAAAAGATCTAATAATAGAATAATTAATTTTCAAAAATATAATTTGTGTATTTATCATCTTTCATCCTTCTCTACTTAAATATTGAAATAAGATGAAACAAGTCTCGACAAGAAAAGATTTGTAAGAGTTGTGTAAAAAAAAAAGAAAAGAAACGTATCTTACTTTGTAAAGTTTCATCTAATAAGCAGTGTTCAATGTTTCTAGATGCTGATTTAGTGGATCGATCGATCAATCTGTTTTTTTCATGACGGCCTCGGTATAGACCCACCACGGTGTTTAATTGGTCAGCTGATCGATTAGCGTATACGGTTACACGGGTAAGTCAATGAGGTCTTAGATCTTTCTGACGATCCAGCTGCTCCGATGAGAAAAGATCGATACCGTATCATCCTTTCTCTCTTCGTTTTTTTACGTAAATTTTGAAGAAAATATGATGCAGATAATGTGAACACGAATTTCGTGTCGAATCATTATTAACTGCAATGTAATATAAAATTTATTATATTGTTTTAGAACATGAGTTCTATTAAAGAAGATTACATTTTAAAATATTATTATTAGTTGAATCTTCCAATATGAATTGTAAGAAAAATCATGAGCGAATTCTTGTTATATGAATTTGCTTCTTAAATCATGCAATTAGATTCAATTAATTCCAGCAATAATTAAAATTTTCTTTCAATAAAATCATTTCCAAGAGAACCAGCCGAATTCCATCAATATCGTTATTTCAAACTACGTTCGAACATCTTTGAGAATTCGAAGGAGTATCGTAACCATCTCGTATCGTTCCAGTTGATTCGCTCCTCGTAATTACTTTCCCTCTTTAGAAAGCTGGTAATTCATAGGAGCGTGGCCAATTAAAAGGAATATCGAGTCAAGTGTACGAGGGCCAAGGAAAATTGATCATCGCATTCCGCGACAGTAATACG